ATTGTCCGCAGTGAAAGAATGAAGACGATGAACAAGGATGCGTTCAAAGGTTTTGCTGTGGACACTGGTTAAACTGATGGACCTATAGGAATCTAGTTAAACTGGTGGCTTGGATGGTTTCAGGAAGACAAGGATGGTTGAAACTTCCAAGCGGTAGGGAAGAAACCTGTGTGAAATAGAAAAGTGTAGAATAAGGCCAATATGGTAATAAACTGAGCAGTTGCATTGGAGAGATGGGAATAGGTGAGATCACCTGGACAGGGGGCTGAGTTGCGACGATAACGTAAGGCAAGTCGGACATCTTGAGCAGTAATTGGAGCACAAAAGGGGTTGGTTTCCAGAACATAGGTGAGAGAGGAGCGAAGAGTCGGAGAAGTATGATCAGACAGTCGTAAGATGTCGTAGCAATCATCAAAGTCAAGGGGAAGTAGTGGTGGAGGATTAAACTGCGACTCAAAGTGGTGTGCAAAAGCATTGGCCTTGAGGAGCGTGGTAGCAGGAACCTGACCATCTACAAGGATAGGCTTAGAAGGAGAGCGAGTGGAATCGTCGGTAGAGTGGTGACACGGGAGAGGAGCGATCAGTAATACGAGTACATATGGGTAGATGATCACTGCCGCAAGGACAAAGTAAGAAAACGGACAGTAGGGAGAAACTTGGGGGGGGGGATAATAACGACATCTGTAGCAGTGTTAGAGACAGGACACCAAAGCAATACCATTAGGCCTAGTATAATGGTGAACTGTATATAATATCTATGGGGTTTTGAGTCTGTATTACTTCACCATATAGTAACCTATATTAATTTAGGTTTGTGAATAACGTTATGACATTTCAGACCAACTGTTTAATGATTGCAGATAGTTGTTAAAGATTTATTTTCTTTTTTCACCAATTATGAAATTGAAAAGAGAATTTGTGACGTAGGGGTCTAATGCATTCTTTGATTGGCCGTTACTCTATGGTGAAGCAAAGTGGACTTAAAACCCATAAATAGTGTTTTTAAGTGTTGTAGCGCCTTTTATATTTATTTAATTTTTTTGTTAAAAAAAAAGAGAGATCTTCCATATTGATTAACCAAGTGTTTGGTTTAACTTCTTAAGAACCCTGTAGCGTATTTACAAAATTACCAAATAGCTTTATTTTGAAAAATATGAAGAAACTTTCTAATGCTTCAGTGCATGCTAATTAGGATAATTTGTCAACAAAACAGATTTAAATAATACATCACAACTTTTCTCTTAATCATCGTGACAAAACGCCCAACACATCCATTGTTTAATACTGTGTAACAGAACGTTCTATCGATTTCATCTTTCTGTTCCGTCAACATCCTTAATAATTGCGGTCTCCTTGAAATATGTCCAAGTAAAATGGTTTCATACTTTTTATGCCCAAGTAGGTCAAACAAATATGGCTGGAATGTTCGTTACTCGCACAGACTTCTGAGAAAAGTTTTTTTTTTTTTGCTCTTTGGAAGTATGTTTTCCTAACGATAAATGTTTCGATATTTTAACATCTGTTAGAACAAGAAACAATCTCACTAGCAGTTCTGGGAAGTGTAAAAAAAATGATTTCCTGTGATATCTGAACGTCTGCCAGAACAGGAAACAATATCTCTAGCAGTTCTGTGAAGTGTGAAAAATGATTTCCTGTGATATCTGAACGTCTGTCAAAACAGGAAACAATCTCTCTAGCAGTTCTGTGAAGTGTGAAAAATGATTTCTCCTTACGACAGAAAACAATCTCTCTAGTAGTTCTGTGAAGTGTGAAAAATGATTTCCTGTGATATCTGAACGTCTGCCAAAACAGGAAACAATATCTCTAGCAGCTCTGTGAAGTGTAAAAAATGATTTCCTGTGATATCTGAACGTCTGCCAGAACAGGAAATAATCTCTCTAGCAGTTCTGTGAAGTGTGAAATTTTTCAGCCTTGAAAACGATAATAAATTATTATTTGATATCAAGAAAACCTACATGTTTCTTTATATCCCGTGATTACGTTAATGTACGCGTTGATTTCTCTTTTTTTTTTTTTTGCTCCAGTTGATAAACCGTTTTTCAACAATCAGAAAAGATTCAAATGTTATTTTAAATTTCGTAACTACTTCATATTGATGGACAAACATATTTTATACCGTAACTACTTCATATTGATGGACAAACATATTTTATACCTTAACTACTTCATATTGATGGACAAACATATTTTATACCGTAATTACTTCATATTGGTGGACAAACATATTTTATACCGTAACTACTTCATATTGGTGGACAAACATATTTTATATCGTAACTATTTCACATTGGTGGACAAACATATTTTATACCGTAACTACTTCATATCGGTGGACAAACATATTTTATATCGTAACTATTTCACATTGGTGGACAAACATGTTTTATATCGTTATTTTCACCTTTATTAGACATTCGTATCGTTATTTTTTCAAAGAAAATATGTGGATGCTATTAGGATATTTATCTTACGAAATAACAAACATTTATTTTAAAATACTGTATTAAGCAAACAGAATATATGCCAACATCTCATTCAAAATACACAAATTTGAATTTTTATTTGAATTTATTCCAAACACTATAATTTCAAATAGATGAAACGACTGGAATATTCCATGACATATTTTATTCGTTTTCTGTTTGTATGTTATCGCTGTTAAAAAAAAAAAGAAAAGAAACATCTTTCGATCTGCAGGCCAGAATTTTAACATTTGGTTAAGAGATCGTTAAGGCTGGTTAATATGCTTTTGTTATGCGATTTGCTGTGATCAGTGTCGTTAATAACGTTAGAAAAAAAGGCTTAGTATATATTCCTAGTAAAATGCGAAGAATTACTACATAAAATCAGATAACATTAATACCATAGCACATATTTAAAAAAATTGAGTAATTCAAGTTTGTTCAAGTTTAATTGATGCTTTAGTTCATTTAAGTTATATACAGTTAATTTTCTGATATAATCGATCTAATACACTGCTTTGATATTGGTTGAAAAGAACTGTAGATGAAAACTTGGGGAACTTGCATGGCCTGGTTGTTAGAGCGTTCGATTCGCAATCTGCGAGCCATAGGTTGTAATCCTGTCATCGAAGCCACACGCCCTTTCAGCTGTTTGGACATTATAATATGACGGTCAATCCCACTTTTCGTTGGTAAAGAGTAGCCCATGAGTTGGTGGTGGGTGCTGTTTACTAGTTGTTTTACCTCTAGTCCATCACTTCTAAATTATGGACGGCTAGGCAGATAGCCCTCGAGTGGCTTTGCGCGAAATTTAACAAACAAACAAATATGAAAATGTGGTGGGTTCGTCTGGAGATAACATTTTTGTGTCCGATTTAGTTGTAAGAGCCAAACGAGTCCCCTCGGAAGTTTTGTTGTTGTTTTTTAACTACTTAGTGAAGTTATCATATAAGTTTTTATACCTGTTAATGGTCTTGTATCATGATAATGTCATATACTTGCATTTATAATATTTTAATTTTGATATTTACCTCTTTTGTTATTTATATTTTGATGTGTGGATCTTTTTATATACTTTTAGTGAGCACACTACACGTATCCCCATTATTTGCTATTTTTATATAATATATGATTCATTGGTATTCAGTAGTTTTAAAACTAATTTAGGTGGTTAATGCAAAACTTCACCATTCGCAAATTTCTTAACTTTCACTTCTTCAATAATCCTTTAATTTATTTTATACACCATCTTCATTATATCTCAGACCTTTAATGTATTTTATACACCATCTGAGGTATATTCAAGATCTTTAATTTATTTTATA